CAGCCTCCTGAGTAGCTGGGATTACAGGCATGCACCACCATGCCCAGCTAATTTTTTGTAGTTTTTAGTAGAGACGGGGTTTCACTGTGTTGACCAGGATGGTCTCGATCTCTTGATCTCCACCCGCCTCGGCCTCCCAAAGTGCTGGGATTATAGGCGTGAGCCACCGTGCCCGGCCAGGCACTTCACTTTTAAGTACTTTTGCAGATATCTTCTAAGAACTAGGACATTCGCCTATATAATCACAATACCGTTAATATACCCCCAGAATTCAACATCAATACACTAATGATACCTAATGTATAGTTTATAATCAACTTTCTTGTAGTAATCTGTTTAGAAGGCTTGCATCCTGTCATGGTCCACTGATTAAATTTTAAATTCCGATCTGAAACGGTGGTCATCTCATTGCTTTTTTTCTTGTTCCCATTAAGTCAAAATGAGTTTTTATTTTATTCAACGGAAGAGAGAATGGAAAAGAGGGGAAGAGTCCCTAGGTACCTTGGATAAAGTGTTAGCACTTACTACCATATGTATACTAGTTTTGTGATTTTCAAACCAGGGAGCATCACCAGGCTTATTAAAGCACAGATAGCTGTCCCTCTTCCCCACTTTCTGATTCAGGAGGTGTGGGGATGGGAATTTGCATTTCTAACAAGTTCCCATGTGTTGCTGATGCTGTGGGTCCAAGGACTGCAGTGTGAGAATCAGCAGTCTAGTGGATATCTGCCTAATGAATAAATAATGTATTTCCTTTAGCACCTGTGATTACAGAGGAAACCACCCTTCAACTGGAAGATATCATTAAACAGAGGATAAGAGATCAGGTCAGTAAGAAATTTAACTTAATTGAAATGTCACTGAAATTTTTAGAAATAATGCGACAGTAGGAGTGTTGCTTTTTATTTTCAGTTAATGTTCACAAGCCTTACGTCTAGGCTACCCAGGCAGCTTTTGTTGTGTGAGGTGCTGCTCTTTAGTAGTACCTAGGAAAAACGAATATTCTGCCTGAGAGAAGCCAGAAGCCGTTATCCTTTCTTGTGAGTCCTGCTGACCTTTTGGGTGGTACTTGATGAAGCTAGTGGCTGACCTGTGGTGGTTGTACCCAGGACCCTTGGCTTAGGCACAGTATCTGGTGTGGCAAATTACTCAGTATATTTGTCTTAGTCTTTTTTCTATTTCCTTAACAGAATATCTGAAACTGGGTAACTTATAAAGAAACGGAATACAGTTATGGAGCCCAAGAAGTCCAAGGTCAAGGGGCCTTCTTACCAGTGGACATTCTGCAGAGTCCTGAGGTGGTGCAGGGCATCACATGGTGAAAGGGCTGAGCATGTTAAAATGCTGGCTCAGGTGTCTGTTGCTCTTCTTAAAAGCCACCATTCCCCCCGCCTGATGATAACCCATCAATCCATTAATATGACTGCCATTCATGAGGGTAGAGCCCTGGTGATCTGGTCATGTCCTAGAAGGCCCCACATCTCAGTATTGCCATCTCAGGGATTAAGTTTCAACATGAGTTTTAGAGAGGACATTCAAACCCTAGCATTGTGGTAGTACTACAATTTTAAAACCATTTTTCAATAGTGTATTTTCTTCAAATGTTAAAAATCTAGTGGTTTTTGTTGAAGAATTGATCTGATTTTCTAAACTTAGAATAAAACTTTGATATATGGGATGTACAGTAAGAGATGGCTTTAAATGTGTATAATGCTTGCCTACGCTTCTGTGTCTAAAATAGAAAGGATTTGAAGGGTGAGTATCATGTGCAGAATATCTTAAAATTTGAAATGAAACGTGTTGAACTAACTCAAGGCTTGACTTTTAAACAAACTGTGATGGGGAAATGTGGAATTAACGTTGGTAACCAAGTAGGAAGACTCATTTTAAACCAAAAACAGAAAAGGATGCCTTCTTTGCTTTCCTAGTGCTTATTTTTTGTGATTTGAATAGTTTTTTCAGAAGCTGAAAATTTTCTTTTTGCTACAATTTGCTTACTCTGGAATAATAAATATTTATTATGACAATGATATTTGTCATAATAATACATTAACAATAATTTATTAATATATTGATAATATTTATTATCATAAATATTTGAGAGGAAGATTCTTAAGTGAACCTAGAAATAAATTGCAGGTTTTGTTAACGTATGTTCTACCTGCCCTTTATGTTTCAGGCTTGGGATGATGTAGTACGTAAAGAAAAACCTAAAGAGGATGCATACGAATATAAAAAGCGTTTAACCTTAGACCATGAGAAGAGTAAATTGAGCCTTGCTGAAATTTATGAACAGGAGTACATCAAACTCAACCAGGTGAGGAAGACTGTAAGCAAAACCATTATTAGTAAAGAAACAGAAGTGCTGGGCGCGGTGGCTCACGCCTGTAATCCCAGCACTTTGGGAGTCTGAGGCGGGTGGATCACGAGGTCAAGAGATCGAGACCATCCTGGTCAACAAGGTGAAACCCCGTCTCTACTAAAAATATAAAAAATTAGCTGGGCATGGTGGCGCATGCCTGTAATCCCAGCTACTCAGGAGGCTGAGGCAGGAGAATTGC